TAATTTGAAAAGATATATGGATCCCTATATTCATTATAGTGCTATTTACAATAATTAAGGTATAGAAACAACCCAGGTGCCCAGAGAAGTATGCATGAATTAAGAAGATATGGTATATATGTGCAATCGATTGGTACTTAGCCACAAGAAGATAAAATCTTGACATTTGCAACAATATGGTTGGAATTGGAGGGGGTTATTTGAGAAAATCGCAAGTACTAGATGATTCATATATATGTGGAATATAGAAAACAAAGGAACAGACAAACCAAACCAAAGCAAACACTTAAAGTCTCACTGTAGAACTGGTGCTACCAGAATGGGTAGTGGGGGAAGAGAGGAGGGCATAGTGTACTGTTGTGGAAGATTATTGGTACTTTGATGGTGGGTGTTGTGTGGTAACATACATTTGTAGATATATACAGTGTCATAAATTAACCTTACCTCAGTACATATAATTTTTTGAAGAAGTGTAATGCATCCAAATAAAGTAGAATAGAGTAATAGGTAGATAGATGTATAGATATAAGGCAGCAAATACAGTAAAATGCTAGTGGTAGAATCTAGGTGATAAGTACACAGGTCTTCACTGTAAAATTATTTCAATCTTGTGGTATGTTTGAAATTTTTATAATAGTAAATATTTTCATAACAAATTACAAACAATTATTTTTATAAAATACATAATAAATTTCCCAAAAAATTAAAATAAGGAACATAATTCCATCTGCTCAAATTATTTCTCAAAGTTTAAGGGCAGGGAATGACTCTTAATACATTTTATTTTGCAGACATTAACCTAATGCCAAATCCAGACAAAGATAGGACAAGTAAAGAAAATCAAAGACCAATGTTCCTGGTAAATATTGATGTGAAATAAAAATAATAACAGATAGTAGATTACAAATAACGGGATTAAGTAGGATTTATCTCAGTGATACAAGGATGGTTTAATATGTATAAATCAATCAATATAATATGACCTATCAACAAAAGAAAATATAAAAACCATATGATATCAGTAACTGCAGAGAAGCATTTGATAAGATTCAGCACTCATTTATAAAAACAAGACAAGATGGGACTGGAAAGGAAGCTACCTTAACACAGTAAAGACTGAAAGGAAGACGGACACCGTGAGTCTGTTCACCAGGAAGTCTAAGTCTTTATTTCAGAACTAAACTTATATACACTAAGGGGATACCGTGGCATGTGCCCATTGGCCAGGCCCCGGTCAGGCGGAGAGTAAAACAGGGAGGGTGGGTAGTGGAAGAGTATCCACGAAGAAAAAACCAATAAGCGGGAGGAATTAGGTTTATGGCCATATATGCTGATGGAGACAGCCAGGCCCAGATGGAGCCATGGGCTCCTCCTTATCAGTTGGAACCCAGAATTACAAAGTAAGCCAAACTGCTTTCCTTCAAAGACTATGCATATATCACAAACCTATCACTAATGTAATCCTTTTTTTAAAGATTTATGTATTTATGCATACAGAACTGGAGTATAGGCCAGAGGTGCAATGAAAAGATTCAAGAGAGACAGAGTGGGGAGCAGAACAGGCAGATTGATGACATACATTGCTGAGGGGAGCATTGGATGAGACAGGAGAGGTCTGTCATGCCATGTGGGTCACCTCCCTGGGCAGGGATTGAACTCGTTTGAACTCGTGCTGAAGTGGCTGTGGCTAGTTCCTAGTGCTGTGCTTTAACCCATTGCACAACCAGGGAGGACCCTACCAATATAATTCTTTTTTTTTTTTAAGATTTATTTATTTGTGCATACAGAACTGGGGTACAGGCCAGAGGCTTAGGGGTGGCGAGAGGCTTCACCAGAGACAGAGTGGGGAGCAGAACAGGCAGATCGACAAAGTACACTGCTGAGTGGAGCAGTGGGCAGGTCAGGAGAAGTCTGCCTTGCCATGTGGATCACCTCTGGGGCAGGCAGGAATCAAACTCATGCGGAAGTGGCTTTAGTTTCTTAGTGCTGTGCTTTAACCCGCTGCGCCACCAGGGAGGGCCCAGAAAGTGAATAATTTTAAAGGGGTTACATTCTGAAGGAGTTTTGAAGGATATGTCATATTACAGAGCACTTGAAGAATATGAAAAGTGGCTTTGACATCTCTGTGAAAAGGCCCTAAATTTTTTCTATTGTGATATTAGGAGTGATAACATTCCTGCTTCTTGAACTGAAGTTAGGGTCCAGTTGAAGTTAGTATGAATTTGCAGTGGGTTCATTCAGCATATTTTACTGTTTACTGATTGGTTTTGCTGTCATCAGCATTTAGTTGCATACTAGGTGGTGGTCAGTATATATTTTAATTCTTTGCATAGTCACAATAATTGCTGTTGAGAAGCAATTGAGGTCAAACCTTGGAGCTTTTAGGGAAAATCTAAGGTTCATTGACCCTTAGGTCATAGGATTTGGGCATATGATTGTCAGAAAGCTCCTCTGGAGAATGATAGGGATTGTACAACACTCTATCTTATTTTTTTTATATATGTATTTTTTCATTCATTTTTATTTTCTTATATCACGGGTCATCTTTCTATAGCTATTGTTCCCCTTAGGTGTGGCCCTCCACCCGTGTACCACACTAGCTCTCCTTGCCTCCTTACCCTGCTTTGATCACTCCCACTCCTCCCTTGCTGCAAGACATAGATGGGTGGCCCATAGACCTTCTCTTTTTCCTGGAATCTTGTCCTTCTCCTGGGTAAGGACCTAGGCTCCTGGACCACAGCAGACCAGGCTGTTCAGATCCCCAGGGGCAACTGGGAGGCAAGCAGCAAGGCAGAGCTGTTCAGGACACTCTTAGAGGGCCGGTGTATGCAGCAGTTCTCCAGACACCTTGATTTTGGACTTCTTGTACTGTAGGATATTGCCCCAGTTTTTCTAGGCCAGTGTAGTCTTTTGGTTCCATGCCTCCTTATTCATGCTGATTGTGTTATCCATTCTGGTGACTGTCACATGATGCTTTTTCTGAGTCTTATACTTCTGACATTGAGAACCTTGCTCCCCACCAAGTCAGTGGAGAAGTTTCCCTGTAAAGACAAGACTCCAGTAGGTGGTCAGACCAGCCCCTCTAGTCTCCTTTCATGGTTTCCATCCCTGTCCTGGTTCACATCTCTGATGTTTTCCTTCCTCAGCTGGAAATGGAAGAAGCCTCATTCAAGTTCAATACATCTCTGGCCCAGGTGTTTGGTTCCCCAGCCCTCGGAGTTATTGTAGGTGGGACTCCTATGATAGGTCACCACTTCAGCTTGTCTCATGGTCCTCTCTCTTGTAGATCTGACCATGCTCTGTTTGGGTGTGCCTTAGATGATGATTATGTCCAAGGATTTTATTTGTCCCTTTTGTCTCCTGAAAGTCCAAAGCAGGAGTGCATGAATTATAGGTGTCTTATACTAATCTGAAGTGGGAATCAAAACAGAGGGGGATACCTTCTCTAGGCCTCTGATCTGGCCCTAAACCTGCTTTGTATTTAGGCTATACAAAGGTATGCTGGGCCCCCCTGCCTGAGGCCCCAGCAATGTAGGGGCACCTGGCTGGTACCTCCAGCCTGACTGGGACTAGGGTCAGGCCTGAACACATGGAAGCAGAGCCTTTCAAACCCTCCCCTGGCCTTAGACTGCATGAAGAGGTGGCCCAGGCCCACATGGATGGGGATGCTGGCTCCCTTAAATCCTGAGATCTCAGTGTCACAGTTAATGACACACCCCTAACTGTGGCCTAGGCTGCCCTGGGGTGCAGCACTATATCTTACTGCCTTTTAAAGAGACATTTTAGTTGAATTCTCTGTCATTTGTGTTTGAATGTTGATTTCTGACATGAGATGAATGCTACTCAAAAGGAGCTTGATTCATTAGAGCTTTGATTTCCTCTAAGATAAAACAAATTAGTGACAAACACTTTATTCTTTGAGATTTAAATGCTTCTATTGTTTCACATGGTATAGAAACAGAGAACATCCTCTAAATGAGGTTTTTTAAAAAATAATATTTTCTCCATCTTGAATAATGAATCAATCAGCAAGTATTCATCAAATATTTAGCATAGATGGGAATATTATCTTGTAACTTCTATAGATAAATTGAGATTTGACTTACTGAGATTTTTGTGTTGATTTTCTTCCACTTTGACAAAAGCTAGAATTAGAACCTTAGAGAAGGGTATCCATCAAGATGTCAAGCTCAATATTAACAGATAGAGGAAAAAAACTAGAGAAGCGGCTTCTTAAATTCTTTTCTTCTTTCAATGCTCAATCTAAAGCACAAGAATATTTACCACATAAGGAAGAGAAAATATCAAATGTAGGACTTTTCCCCTAAAAAGTATTTTATGAAATTATTTTCTTATAAGTGTCCATTTAAAAAAAATATGACTAGTCAAACATATTCTTAAATTTCTGAAACAAGCCTCTACTACAGAGTGCCTAAGTAACATGTGATTGATGTTTTTGTTCATTTAGTCATAAAATGGTAGAGATGAAATGAATCTTAGAGATAATTTTGTATAATATCCCTTTTTTTATAGATGAGGTTACAAAAGCCATGAGAACATAAGGTTTATTGTTAACTTGTAATACATAACTGTTCTGTCTCCAAGGTAGAATTGCACTAAGCCATCTCCTCCAGTGTAGAGATAAATACAAAAGCTATTCCAGCTGGGGAAACATGTCCTAGGGATTGTATTATATCATAATAACATAGGCTTGCATGCCAGTTTTGCATTTCTGGAAAAAAAGTAAATGACTTTCAGTCTTTTGGTATCAATTCTCTGTTTCCAAATGCTGTTACCTTTTCTTATTTCTCTGTATTTTGAGATGGCCAATGTGTTTAACTTGAACAATTAACAATGCTTTAACAATGTTTTTAAAAAGTTTAAAAACAAATTAAGACAACACCAGTTAAAAATAGTTTAAAACTGACTTATAGACAAATGCTTGTTACTTCATTTTAATCAATTTTGGCTTTTTTTTTTTTTTTTTTTTGCCTTACTAGGCAGTTGCTCAAGGTGATTTTCAAAGAGCATCTGCTTGTATACTGCGCTGTAAAGAGATGTTGGCAAGGCTCCCCAAACTGGTAAGTGAAATTTCTGCATTCTCCAGGATTTTGAAAATATACTATATGAAGTCCTAGAGAGAATAATTACTATTTTCTATCAGTTTTATTTAGCTAATTATTGAAATGTTTTGGTTTCTTTGTTCTTTTTAAAAATTGTTTTTTCTTGCATTGTTTGTTTTTGGATAGTATTTTCTCTCCTCAGTTGTAGTCTCTGTAGTTCTCCTGCCACCATAGCTCCATGATCCATCTCTATCATCCCTTGTGCTCTTCCTTCCCCTCTTTTGACTCTCCCCCTACCTCCTCCCTGCTATATGCCTCAGGTCTATAGTCGATCCTTTGTTGACTTCTCTATATTCTGCACTTAAGTGAAATCATCTCATATTTGCCTTTTCCTTGTAACTTATTTTGTTTAGCACCAACCCCTCCAGCAGCATCCATGTTGCCACAAATGGCATGAGCTTATATTTTATGATCGCTAAGTAGTATTTCATTATCTGTATAAACCACATCTTCTTGATCCATTTATCTGGGGCATTTAGGTTGTCTTCATATCTTGGCTATTGTAAATAATGCTGAAATGAACAATAGGAGTACAGGTTTTCTTTTGAATTGGTGTTTTTGTGTCTTTTGGGTAGATTCCTAGAAATGCAATCACTAGCTCATGTGGTAGATGCAATTTAAGTGATTTGAGGAACTTCCACACAGTTTTCCATAGTGGCTAGACCAGTTTAAATTCCCACTAGCAGTGTGAGAGTGTTCCCCTCTCCCCCTTTTTAACGACATCCTTACCAGTATTTGTTGTTTCTAGTTTTTTAAGTAAGGGCCATTCTCACAGGTGTGAGGTGGTATCTCACAGTGGTTATGAGTTGCATTTCCCTGATTATAAGTGATGGTGAACATTTTTTATATGCCTATTGGCCATTCTTCTTTGGAGAATTGACTTTTTAGCACTTCTGCACACTTTTTGACTGGATTCTTATTTTGTTTGTTTTGAGTTGTCTAACCTCTTTGTAGATCTTTGATATCGGTCCCTTACTAGTTGTATAGTATGCAAATATTTCCTCCCATTCAGTGGGAAGGACACAATAGCTTTAAAAAATGAATTAAGCCACATGGACGTAATAGGCAGTTATAGGACACTGAACTCCAAAAAAGCTGAATACACATTCTTAAGTGTATATGGAATATTCTTAAGAATTGACAGCATATTGGGTCACAAAATAAGTGTCATAAAAATTCATGAAGATTGAAATCATATGAAATATCTCTGGTCACAGTGGTATTAAACTGGAAATCAACATCCAAAGGAATGCGGGAAGAACCATTAATATGTGTAGTATGCATGACATATGAAAGATGTTTGGATCAGTGAGTAAATCAAAGAAAACATTAAAAATAATTGGGAGGAACGGGGGGGAAGGGAGGGAAATGCACGGGACTATGGTGGTGGCACAGGGGTGATTTGGTGATGGGAAACCCGTGGGGATTACAATTGAGATGAAAAAAAAATGTGAAAAATGATGTAAAAATAAACTTTTTAATAAAAAAAAAAATAATAATTGGGAGGGAGACCCAGCAAGATGGCAGCAGAGTGAAGATGCTGAAATCACTACGTCTAAGCTCACACAGGCATATAAGACTAAAAATGGATTGTAGACTTACATACTATGAGTTTCAATCCAAATGAGAGCACCCTGAACTCACTAGAAGGAAGATAACTGAGGGAGAATTGGCGATGGGGAACTCTGATCCAGGAGCACCCAGATGCCCAGGCACTAGGAAGTGCCTCAAATGGAGGCTTGCTGCCCTTTGCCTGGCCTGCTAAAGCCCTGGAGATAAGGAGAGACAGCTCAGCTCAGTGATTGGAACCCAAGCTGTGAGGAAAGACTGCAGCCCTGATCCGAGAGTACCCAGGTGCCCAGGCACTAGGAAGTGCCTCAGAGGGAGGCTTGCTGCCCTTTGACCCTGCCCTGGAGATAAGGAGAGACAACTTACCTCGGTGAGTGGAACCCAAGCTGCAGGGAAAGACTGCTCAGAGTGGGCACATAGAGCCTGGGAGGTGGGGAAGAGGAACTGGTGACTGGGGCAGCTGCTTCCAGAGCTCCCAGCATCCCCCACCCCCACAGCATAGGCCTGGAGGCTTGTTCTTATTAGTCACTGAGGCAGGGACAGCAAGGTCACAAAGCCCTGGAGGTAAAAGGGAAAAAAAAAACACAACTGGTTAGACTGAATCAAAAACAGGCCTAACCCTGGGAAGCTACAACACTTTTAACAATCCCCCAACCCTCCAAGGGCACATCCTAGCATAGAGAGACCCTAGGAAGTGCTTCAGATGGGAGATTTGTGATGGGTCTACCTGCTTACCACATCTACCCCCAAAACCTGCAGTAAAGCCTTGGAGTTACTGCCATGTAACCCTGAATTCCCTGCCCCCACAGCAGAAGCTAGGACTCAAGGTATTACTGGACAACAGTGACCTGAAGATTTGTGAGCCAGTAAGGCACTGCCTTGCAAGGCTCACAGTGCTCAGAAGTAAACAAAACCAGTGACGGGCTCAACCACAGGCCCGGCTGCAGGGAGACCTATAACACTTTTAATGCGCCCCACACCCCATGGCCACATACAAACATTGAGGGAACCCAGGACTTCGGAAGGCTACAAAGATCAACAGGCACCTTCCAGAAACAAGGACTCAAAGTGTTACCGGAAGAAGCTGAACACCACAAGTGACCCCTGACTGTCATTGGCTGAGATAGACACAGCCTCCACACAGTGGAGGCTGGAAAAATAGCAGATATTGAAACAAAACAAGGCTCAGAATACCCTCCACAACTAAAGTGTCTTAAAGTCCCTCTGCCATCCCAGAAAAAACATCCAGAAAGAATGCCAGTCAATAATAGCAACACTGTATCTCAACGAATAGAAAGTATTAGAAAATACACAACAGGAAAAAGAAGACAAACAAATATTCAAACAATTTTTCCACGGGGAAAAACTTACCACAAAAAGATCAGTCACCAGAAATCACCAAAAAAAACAGAAGAACTGCTCAGCCTACCAGATAGAGAATTCAGAATCATCATAATAAGCAAACAAAAAGAAGATGAGAAGGAAAAAAAATGACATGAGGCAAGCCATCATGGAATTGAAGGATGCAAACAAGGAAATGAATGAACGAAATGAAAAAGAAAAAACAATATGAGACAAGCAATCAACAAATTGAAGAAGGAAAATAAGGCATTAAAAAAGGAAATAGAAGAAATGCAGGAGTTGAAAAGGCCAATAGAGGAGATAAAGAATGCTGGGAAAAATAATGAAAGCAGAATAGATGAAATGGAAGAATGAATCAGCACCCTCAAAGACAGAAATAAAGATAATTAAAACAAAAAGAAAAAGAAGTAAAAAGGAAAAGGAATGAAGAAATACTTCAAGAGCTATCTGACACCATAAGGAAAGGAAATATCAGAGTTATAGGTATCCCAGAAGATGGAGAGAAAAGCCAAGGAATCTAGAAAATACTCACAGAGATAATAGAAGAGAACTTCCCTATATGAAGAAGGAGATGAAAGTAGACATTCAAGAAGCAAGAAGAACATCAAACTACCATGACAACAGGAGAAATACAGCAAGACACATCATAGTAAAAATACCAAGAATACAAGACAAGGAAAAGATAATGAGAATGAAAAGAGGGAAGAAACAAATAACCTAAAAAGGGAAACTGATCAGGCTGACATCAGACTTCTCCAAAAAAGTAATTGGGAGATAAATGAAAACAAGGACAAAACCTATCAGAACTTACAGGAACAGCAAAAGTGATACTAAGACGGAAGTATATGGCTTTCCAGGCACACATCAAGTAAGAAGAAAGCTCTCTAATAATTAAAATTATCTATCACCTTAATGAAATTTAAAAAGATGAACACACAAAACCAAAAGTCAGTAGAAGAAGGAAATAATATAGCAGAAATAAATGAAAGAGAAATAAAAAACACAGTCCAAAAGATTAATGAAACCAAAAACTGGATCTTTGAATGAATAAACAAAACAGATAAATTTCTGGTGATGATCACAAAGAAAAAAAGGAAGAAAATACAAACAAATGCCACTTGAAATGAAAGAGAAATCATAACAGATACCTCAGAAATTCAGAGGATAGTAAGAGATTACTATGAACATTTTGTATGCTAGTAAAATACCATAAATAGGTGAATTATTAGAATTAATGTTACTTTAATAAAAAATAAATTGAAAGGAGAATTCTTCCAAACACATTCTATGATTGTCAGCATTTGCATGATACCAAAAACAGACAAGGACACCCAACACACACACACAGAACTATAAACTTAGTATTCCTGATGAACATAGATGGGAAAATACTCAACAGAATACAAGCTAGCTAAACTCATATATGCATATATAAAATTTTATATTATTGGTTTATAATGTCTGCGTTTTAGGACCTTTCCTTTCAGGTGTTGTTACCACATTGCACCCACCACCAAACCACCCACAGTACAACCATAGTTCATTTTGCTCACTCTTAACTTAGTTCTTGCCCTGACTTCCACCCTCTCCTTTTGGTAGCTTTAGTTTTACAAGTCATGTTTTTAGAATTTGCTGTTAGTTGGATAATATATGATCCTTTGTTTGGGTTCTCTAAATTCCACATATCAGTGACATCATCTGGTATTTGTTTCTCTCCTGTCTTATTTACTTAGCATTATTCTTTCCTGGTCCACCCATGTTGCAATAAATGGCAAGGGCTTATCATTTTTGATTGTTGAATAGTCCATTTTATATACCTTTCCAATTTTCCTGATCCACTCATTTGTATTTGAGGAAGTACCCCATATCATGGCTACTATAGTTTCTTTCGTTAACTGCCCTTTCATTTTGACTGTTTCTTTACTAGCTTTTGAGGTGAAAGAGAAGGTATTTGAGCTCCTTCTTGATTCTTATGTGGACCTGTATTGATATATACTTTCCACCTAGTACTGCTTTTTTTGTGTGTC